CCTCTTGGAGGCTCTTTAGAGGCTTTTTTCATGATCAACTCAAATTAATTTTTTATTTAGTGTGCAAATCACCATATTTACAAGAAGAGAAATACTCACTTCTTGTAATCACGAGATGATTGCGTTCTGCGCAAAATGTATTTTTCCGACACTGGAATCAAAATAGGTGGCAATAATAATGAGGATACATTACTCATATAACATTTTTAAAGACAATTTCTGTCTTTGATATGCCAAGGTAGGACGACTCAATTTTTCGCAATAATAATTTCAAAAAGGATGTGTCTATTCTCAGAAAAGCTTAAATAGTATAAGGCTTGAATACGTCAGGTTATTTTTCGAATATAGTTTATGTTTAACTCATAGATGGCGTGGACAGAACGAAAAGATGTCATGTTGGTCAGAGAAATCTTATTATCAAACAACAACAAACATATGAAACATATGTATCAAGGATCGTGCACATATACGTATAAATCTTATTATGTGAACCCTTTTAATTCAAGACGTAGCCCGACATGGAGCCGAAATAACGCAAAATTTGAACACACATCTTGGTATCTAACGACAAGGATACGCAAGTCGTCTAAGCAGCATACACAAGCTTTCCATTCCATCAAACACAGACCTCTGCGAGCAACGGAAAACGGGTGGAATGCCAGGGGCGTCTGCCAAAGTGGACAAATCACTCTTCTCGACACGAAATTCCGCTATGTATTCTTCGTCGCTGAGATTGTCCAACAAGAATTCGTCGTGGTTGACGTACGGAAATGGTGGATTTTTTGGCATAGATGGCGTAAAGAATATCAAATTCATTTGCCTTTGTAACTCTTTTAATAAAGGAAACCAAAAGTAAATCTTGCTCTTCCTTCAAGCTCGACATGACCGGACAATGCCAAGAAATCGTGAGCTCTATTCTGAATTTTAAATTTACCATCAAATTTGCGAAGCTCGTTCGGCGCGGCGTCGCGTTTTTGTCACGCACTTTGCTTAAGGATGGCAACTCCCAGTCGCAACTGCAGCCTGAAGCCGTTCTATCCTCAGTTTCGTATCGGTCGTCACGTCGCCGTCGTCAACGAAAACGTCTGTTGCTTGAGGTTCGTATTGTTTCGTCGACACCTTTTAAATGCGAAAATTGTAAGTTGCATATTTTGCTCTTCTCCTTATGAAGACACATTGTATTTTCAATTTTCTTTTGACAACCTTGCCGTTAATTCCGCTCCAATCTTTTCCCTTGCTTGCCATCATCTGTTTATTCATGGAAAAAGAAGCTATTCTCTTTTCAGACATGGACACGCACTTTACTTTAAATAGTACGATCGCTGATCAAAACCTTGCTAATTCTCCATACCACAATAAACGACTCGAATCACGTGTGGTTTTAAAGTCAAAGACGTGCATTTTACTTTGACTAATACGATCGCTGATCAGAACCTTGGGCTAACTCCGCTCCAATCGTTGATATTCCTTGCTATCCTCGCCTTTCAGGCGACTTAAAACATTTTGCTTTCTCGGTAATATAACAGCTAGGGAGAAGCTTAAGAGCATTCCAATCTTGGGTAGGTTCATAACAAAATGAAATCACCTTTCGACTCCTTTGACACTTTTCAACACCTTTAGACTTTAAGGCTTCACTATCACTGTTGCTGATCACCCCTTTTGCAAGAAGTGTTTTTTTTTTCACATTAAACCAGATGCAGACATAGGCAGCCCAAGCTCACTACTAGAAAAGCGGACGTGACTCTTACCGTGTTGCGCAACGCTTTATATTTATAGAGGTTTCTATGGGATGTTATCGGTTTGCCTTAAAAGAGATAAAAAAATGTCTTGTTTTGAAATAAAATGGACTTACCTTATTACCTTGTTGTTTTCTTTGCTGATTCTTAGCGTCTCAGGCCATTTTCAAGCGTTTTCAGCGAGTTAGCGCTATGTTGGTGTTCAACTGCTAAAAGAAAGACTCGCCGAAAACGCTTGAAAATGGCCTGAGACGCTAGGAATCAACAAAGAAAACAACAAGGCAATAAGGTAAGTCCATTTTATTTCAAAACAAGACATCTTTTCCTCTCTTTTAAGGCAAACCAATAACATCCCATACAAACCTTGCCCAGCCAAAAAAATAAATCATGACGAGCTTTGCTCGAGAAAAAAATTCTCAGCAGGCATCGTAAACTGATGCCGAGGTTTGGGGAAGAAGGTGTTGGGTGGATGTCATCACATTAATTACACAACAATGTAATTACACAGATTAGCGCCCACGAATCCACGAGAGAAACGCGATTGCGTGCGAGTTAACGCGGGGTCATCTGTTGGCAATGAAAATCAAAATCATGAAATGAAATGAAGTTTGCTGTGCGCGTAATGGTCATAAAATACTGCGTTTTCTCTGTTTCTGCCTGTTTCCTTATAACGACATTTTTAATCACGTAGTCTTTCAAAGATCCTTCCTTTTCACAGAAGAGGCAATACCGGCGAGGCGCCGTATTCGAAAAGCCTCTCTTTCGATTATTTAGGTATGATTCTTTCGCTTGGTTTGCCATAAAACAGTAACAAAAGATATCGCAATTTTCATGTGCCGTACGACCTGAATAACAACCGTATCGAATTTCCAGTATTGCGTCACTTGGTGGATCGATCAGTGTTCACGCTTTGCGATCGTAGTACACGATGTTATTGTTTTGGTACAAAACCTGTGGCGGTCGCACGACTTGGCCTCGTATCCTGGTTAAATTCTTACCAATATTATAATATTAAACCTCGACGAGATTTTTCATGTCGAAATGTCGAAAAGCATCATGTTTTCGATTTCGAAACCATTCGAAATGAAGTCATAGAGGCAGTCGGATTTTCGACGTGCGGCTTTCCACCGGCTAACTTAACCACGCAGAGTCTTTGCAGGATTACAAGTGCCACACTTGACCCTTGCCAGCATTGGTATCTACTTTTGAAAGAGGTATGTGACGTTACTTTGCGTAAATATTTCATACGCGATGTACTTAAGATATTTCCCGGCGAAATCCAAAGTGTGGCGGCGCGGGAACTTCAGCCGGTCAAATCATTGTTCGGAGTAGTGGGGTTAGCCAGGACTCCCGACCTCGTTCACGTTGTGTTCACGTTCGGTCTAATAGCTGGTCTATCTTCTTCGTACTAAAACAATCCCCGACGAACTTATTAAATCTGTCGGATTTATGACTATCGTAAATCTGGTGAACTCCGCCACTCTAGACTTTGAGCCCGAAGGCGCGAAAAATTTATCTTTTGGCGCCAAACTCAGTCACGACTCCGATGAGCTCGCTTCCTAACTTACCGAAAGATCAGCTAGAGTAGATTCCCTTGGAGTGGAACTGAAGAAGCTTCGAACACGGATCTCTCATCTCGAATCAGCATGGAGTCAATTTTACAGACCCCTTTTTTCCACCTCAATGTTCGTACCTTGGCTAAACCGAGGCTATCGGGTCTAGCCCGCTGTAAAGCACAAGGAAATAGAGAGGGAATGTAGGAGGTAGTTTGACATTTAGATAATATTCTGTCTACTTTTGAGAGCTGTTATCCATGGTGAAGCATTGCATAGCTTTTGGGTGTCAAAATCGAAGTTCCAAAGCGGAGTGCAAAGACTTATCATGGCATTTGCTCCCACTGTCAAACAGGAATTTGCTGGCACAATGGCTCCTGAAACTGCGTCGAGAGAACACTCCGGGAAACAAAACCTCTTACGTGTGTAGTCAGCATTTTGAAGCCAGTTGCTTCATAAAACCACTAGGACGACAAAGAATTCGTTTAAAGCCAGATTCTATACCGACAAAGTTTATTTTTACTGTCGAAAAACCAAAGAGGAAAAAGCCCGCCGATCGAGCATCGTTGAACACAAAGAAAACAAAAACAGAGAAATCGCAGCAGCATTCAGTCTCCGAATCGATTAACATCAGGAACACACGGATTTGAAATCTGGTTCAGATGGTATAGAAACTGATAATCTAGAAAGTGAAGGTTTAGTTCAAACTGGAGATGAAAACTGGGAACATCAACTTGAGTGAAAGGATGACTAAGTCATGTTTACTTGAGACATGGAAAACTAGGGAGCGCAATACGTATGATGCACGATCCTCGCAGTAGATAGCGCTATTTAAGCGATAGCGAAAATCAGAACTGAAAAAAATCAGGCCTGTACGGGATTCGAACCACTGACCTCTGCGATACTAGTGCAGCGCTCTACCAATTGAGCTAACAAGCCAACTGGGAGCAGGCCGTTAAGTTGATTCGTAATAAACCCGTGAAAGTGATAAATGAGATACAAAAGACTAATGACGTATTTCCTTTACGGGGATAATAGTTCTTTTACGTATGTTGCACGATCCTCGCAGTAGATAGCGCTATTTAAGCAACAGCGAAAATCAGACCTGAAAAAAATCAGGCCTGTACGGGATTCGAACCACTGACCTCTGCGATACTAGTGCAGCGCTCTACCAATTGAGCTAAAAAGCCAACTGGGAGCAGGCCGTTAAACTGATTTGTAATCAACTCGTGAAAGTGATAAATGAGATACAACTTCATATATTTCATTCATTGAAATAACAAAACCTGTTTCACTGACTTTGCAATCTAGTTTGTTTTCATATTGCCATATGATCTTCTTTTCATCTTTCAGTTCCTGTTTCATTTTATTGCTTTGGTACTGACCGTTATAGTGTAAAATTTCCTTCATTGCTTTTGTTGGGCTAGTAGAACGCTTTAATAATGCTCGCTTGCTCTGAGACGCTGTAATACGAACACGTCTGTGTTCAAACTATGCCGGACAGTTACTTTGAGCTTTTGTGGCAAGTGCAATGTTCTGTCTCTCTTGATCAGTAACCGTGAGATTTCTCTTAATTCTTTTTGCCGGTCAAAAATCTCTGTGAGTGAGACAGGGTGCTCTTTAATCGGAGAGATAATTTCATTTTTATTTTGGTCACGTTTCTCACCTGATAGTAGACAAAAGAAACCACAATTTGGTTTTACTATTTTGATTTTATCAAGCAGTTCTCTGTTGACTTTTTTCGAATCATTGTTCCTTTCAGATGGACGTCTTGGATCATTCAAAGGTTTGACATTGATTCTTTCTTCTCTTCTATAAATCTTTTTTGAGAAATCAATTTCATAAACTGACTGAGAGTCAAGCTTCCTCTTTCTCGGCTGATTCCGACTCTGCAGTCTTGAGGTACACGTTTCAAATTCCCGTGTGCACTCAAGTCTCACAAATTCTTCAAGTGCATAACAAAGAGCTCCTATATGTTTACAAGAACCACGTGGACCTTTGCCAGCTGGGCAAGCACAGCTGGCAAATGTGTTGTTACCTTCATGTCCACAATTATTACACATTGAGAGCTTCACGTTATACTTCAAGTTTTTTGTTCATTTCAGGTAAGCAGTCACATCAAATAAGTACGTTCTCATCGTCGTCCCGAGCGATTTCCAGTTTTTGGATGTGACCATGTCGAAACAAACCGAAAGCTTTGCTGCTGACATTCTTGTAATCTTTTTTAGAGTCATTGTCTTTAGCTTTTCTCTCAATAAAGTAAGACACGATATTTTGAATATTAAATGAAGTGACATCGTCCTTCGCGTCAACCAGTGAAACCCACTGTGCAGACTCAGGGAAATCACAATTGACGGTCGCCGTTTGGTCCTCTGGTTTACTTGCTGCCAAGTGTTGCCACTTCTCCGTAAAATTATTCTCCCAACTATTTTTGATATAACTGATGACCCTGCGACAAGTAAAACAAGTCGATATAAAACTCATGCTTCGAAATTCCCTCTAAGCAATGGCAATAATTATAAGTGACAAAAACTAATGCAATCTTATAAATACCTTTGAGATAACTCAGCCTTCGTAGCTTCGGACCGCGCGCTACCATCTTTCGCCGTCCCTTTTCGGAATGACAACCACTCTTTTAGTCTTTCTTTGGTAAGATTCCGTGGGAAACTACCACTAAGTAACTGAACTTTCTCCTCAGCGGAAAAGAAGGCTGCTTCTGGAAGACTTTTGGCAGAGAGCATAGCTTTTTTATCACTTTCTCATACAATCGCAACCAAGTCTGATCAATGTTGACCCAATAGCCTCGCTTTGATGTCTGCTCACAGAAATACCGCTGGATCGTTTGGGTGGCGTACACAACTTCGATAAGAGCGACACCGCGGAAATACGTTTTCGTGACGTCACAGTAACTGGTCAGTGGTCATCAACTTTACGCTGCCAGGCGCTTCCATATGTTTGTAGACTGAGTTCGATGAAGATATCGACCTTTCGCGTGGTTTTAAGTTGGAAAATATGCATGATACTTCTCCTTGTTTGTTATATTTGATCCTTTGAATGTTTTTTTAATTCTAAAACCACGTCTTAACAAATAGCGGTATAGGGGAGTCATTTTGTTTGGAGTTGTGTGCTGTTTGCTGACTTGGGCTGGCCGTCCAGTTACGAAGCACGATCTTGGCTCTTCAGTCGCCCTCGCCTTCAGAATTGTCAAAAACAGCGATAGTTATCCAGACAAAGCAGGAGATTAGTTCTGTAAGATAATTTTCCAGCGAGTCTGAAGACTGGTGGGATTTTTAAGTGTTATTAGCATGAAGCGATACAGGTAATTATTGTGTTGTGAAAATATTCATACACTCACTTTGCGCCGACGTACGGTGCCCTTCCATTTTGGTAATTATTCGCTTGGATGAGAATTTTACCTTTATAGACTGATTTTTCGCCATTCCACCCTTCTGGTTTTCTGTGCCTTTAAGAACGGGTGTCCGTAATCAAAATATGAAAACATTTGTTCATTTCATATACTTGCAGTTTTATCAACAAGTTATCTCGTGAATAGGCACAACCAAACGTGCTAAAGACATGTAATAGAGATCTACTATCAACTGCTGTCAATAAAGGCTTAATTCAAGATAAATTATAAATGAACCGATCATGTTGGACGGTCTCAAATATTGTATATTTTCAGCGCCCTCAATCAATCGCCTATATAATAATCNAAGTAGGTGTCCCCAATTAGCTCTATGAGCTAAATACATTGACACGGTAATAAAGATTTTATTATTATTATTATTATTATTATGATACACACAATAACGACTGGGGATAGGGTGTCCGTGCAACACGGGCATGTTTGTCTTCTCGGCAAATCTGACCGGAATGCCGTTGACATGCTGATTTATACGGTTCAAGCCACTGCTTTACAAACCTGATGGTGCAACGTCCTCAGCCATTCGAAAACCGTTTCATATTTAGCCTTCGTGCTTATGCTCTTCTATAAACAAAACTTAGTTGCCACGGAGCCGCCAGCGAAAAACCAACAATTTCATATCGTGTGCAACTTCAGTTCGGCTTTGGCAAAATATATAATTGAGCTTGAGAACTATCCAAAAGGTGAACGGAGTTTCAAAGCTACGTTTACAGTATTCTTTCTAAGTTTTGCCTTTTTACGCTGTCGATTAAACTCACGGCGAAAACATTGTAAAAGTTAACGGCATTTTATGGTTTCGTTGAGGTGTCCGCTGACCAATAAAATACTGTATCGGGCCTTAAAAAACGTATTTCCGCGGTGTCGATAAGAGCCATTGCAATACAATTCCTATAAAGAATTCAGCGTCAGTTAGTGGGCTGTATTTTCTGCAAGGTAGAGGCCAGACTAACACGGACTTTGTCATTGTAGTTATTGTTATGATTATTATAATTATCATTATTATTAATGATTTTGTTATTGTTATCATTATCTGTATGATTGTGATTGAATCATTTTCAAAATGAAATAGGCTGCTCAATGAGGATGGCATGCTGTGGCAAGTAGATTTTCATTTATTTACCCTCCCTCTCCCCAAGTAGAAATTCAACTGTTTCTGATAGTTTTTCTCCTCAATAGAAGAGTTAGAATGCAGAAGATTTTCTAAGACACATTGTACAGAGGGCTTGTCTTAAGTAGTTGTTTTCTGATTCAAAACCACCTGCCTAGTTCTGTTTCTCTTGAGTAGTTAGTCCATGGACTGTTGTTATCTGATGGCAGAACTAACAGGTGGATCTGTTCCTCTTGGGTAGTCAGTCCATTATGGGCTGTTGTTATCTGATGGCAGAACCATCAATCTGTTCTGTTTCTCTTGGGTAGTCAGGCTATGGACTGTTGTTATCTGATGGCAGAACCAGTCTCTAATTTTTTTCAGCTCTATGCTGTCAGTCTTTTATGGACAGTTATTTTTATCTGATGGTAGTTTTAGCTTGCTCTTTTTGTTTTGAAAAGTGTGTTGCTTGTGCTGTTTGTCACGTATCATCTGTTATTAGTCATAGGCACTTTGGTCAATCAATGCTATCATTGTCCTAATTGTTATTATTGTTAGATCATCTGCTACTCTTCTCTCTTTGACACAGGGCCCACTACAGACAGCACTAGCTTAATGAAGTCCCAAAACCTTTCACAATGAGCCAACTCAAGAATTGCAGTCCTGAACAGTTTTTGGGGTTTTCCTGGCTTTTCTTGAGATTATTTTGTCTCAGTTTCAATTACTTGGATACTCATTCAGCTAGACTAACAATAACACCATTTTGTTCATAGATAAACATTGAAATAATCATAATAGTAATATAAATGATAATAATAATGATTTGTTATTGTTATCATTATCATTATCTTTATGATTGTGATCATCATTTTCAAATTGAAATAGGCTGCTCAGTGAGGATGGCAAACTGAGGCAAGTAGATTCTCATTTAATTCCTCCCCCCTCCCCCCAAATAGAAATTCAAGTGTTTCTGATAGTTTGTCTCTTCAATAGATGAAGTTGAAGTTGTTTCTTCTTCTTCCGCACTGCCACTTGTATCATATTCGTTAGGAAGGCCGACATCTCCTGTTAGGTCAACGCTTTCCCCTGGCACAATGTCTTTCTCGTACAAGAAATCGGGGAGCGTTCCAGCCCTAGCCATGGTCGTTTCTTGTCGGACGGTTCTTGAACGAACTGCAGCCCCAAAGGTATGTGCCTATTCCCTCATAAGCTGGGCGTCTTGGGCACTTACTACCCCAGGTGGAAGTTGTGGTGCTCATGAAATTTCAATGAGTGCCGCTGCACGGTCTGGAACGGGATACCACGACTTTGGGTTGGTATAATAAAATGCCGTCCAGTTTGTTGTCTTCTTTACACTTTCCTTGACAGCGTTTTCGAAATTCCTGGCATATTCAAGGGCAGTACATAAAGGTGATTTCTGATGGACCACAAAGTGACAGTTCTCTACATCTGATGTCATGCAGTTCAGGAGGTTGGTCCAAGGAGGTTGGTTCAAGGAGGTCGGTTCAAGGAGGTCGGTTCAAGGAGGTCGGTTCAAGGAGGTCGGTTCAAGGAGGTCGGTTCAAGGAGGTCTGTTCAAGGAGGTCGGTTCAAGGAGGTCGGTTCAAGGAGGTCGGTTCAAGGAGGTTGGTCCAAGGAGGTTGGTCCAAGGAGGTTGGTCCAAGGAGGTTGGTTCAGGAGGTTGGTCCCATTGGCGCTAACAGGTCATAAAGTCTCTCAAGGCCAGACTGCAACAATGAAACAGACTCTACTGTCTTCTCGGTCACATTTCCCTGTGGTCCATTAAAGGGACCTTGGCAAGCTTTGGATTTCGCCGCGAATCAAGGCCTCGTTTCGGCGAAGATATTGCAATGTTTCTTGAAGCACTGTAACGGCATCTTGTAGCTTGCAAAACTCGTACTTTGCATGCTTCTCGTGGACGGAGAAAGCCTTGTATATCTTTCCGACTGCATCTAGAAATGCAGCGGTTTCATGCAGAGTGGTGAATACCTTCATACAGTTGGTTCGGGCATCACATATATACAGACATGGTAAAATTCGACATAAAGTCAGCAGGTTGGTAGAATTCAGCATGCGAAGTCAAGCCATCTCTGGTGCTCTCTGCAACGGTACCTGCAAACACCTTCACTCTCTCCTCATTTCTGATCCAGTGCAGGATGCGATGCGATTGCGGATCTGAATAGACCAAACCGTCTTTGTAAACCGCAATGGAGGGAGCCAAGGAACAGTAGTCTGGACCGGAAGAAATAATGCTTGCTTTTACATGCTGCGTGGATCATATAGAGATCTACGACGTGTAGTGCCTCAAACTGAGATATCTCGCCGGAGGTATTCCAGAAGTTGATAGCAATAGGAGAAAGCCCTCTCTCTTGGTATTCTGCCTCGATCTTCTTAACTTGCGTGGCGATTAGTTTCTTTAATATTGCCACGGTTTCATTAGCAGATAGTCCAAGCTCAATGGCTTTCTGAACTACATCTTCTCGTGAACGCAGTTTTCCTAAGTTAACACGCACGGCCCCCTGTTCTAGCTCATAAAAAATAATGGGGCCTCCTTTCCCAACCATGAATACAATGTCATTGACGTGGTGGACTTCTTTGGCGAGAAAATCTTCTTTAAGCTTTACAAATTTTTGAACGGCGTTATGAAGTTGTGCCATAAAAAGACTCGATAAACCAGTGACTGTGTTAAGTGAGAGAAATAACAGGCTTCCGTAGGAACCAGTAGTGATGCTTGTGGGGTTGTGCTCTGTGAAACGGTCAGTCTCGGGAATGATGATGTGGCCAACAAAGTGTAGACTTCTAAGATAGCTAGTAAAATCTGGATTTGTTAGCTTCATGACAGAAGTTGGATCCTGTCCATCTTTGTTTTCAAATCCGTCAATAAAACAAGAATGAGAGCAGGATATTAGACATCTTAACGAACGTGACTTCTAACCTCAGTGATTTGATACCTCTTTCCGAGTGACGAAAACGGCGAAAATAGTAAAACCGGAAAAGACGAACAACACAAAAAAGTGATAAAGGGAAACATTTGACAGGCTGCACTTCCTTTGACACTCATAGTTTGACAACAAAGGCGGTATACTCACTTAAGAACCATTTTTCTTTTAAAAAATAATTTGGATATATCAACAAAGTTGAAATGGTAAATTGGCCACCGTAACGATTACAAAAGCTGACGTTTCGAGCGTTAGCCCTTCGTCGGAGCGAATAGAGGAATTGTGGGTTGTTTGTGCTTTTA